ATCTGCTGAGTCTCAGCTCCCTCAGCTCTCTGGGGTGGTTTTAGCTCCTCCCTGGGTTTGATTTTTAGATGAATCTTGTTTGATCCTTCTCCTGGCTCTGTTAACTCTCCATCTGTCTGCTTCCTTTGATGTACCATCTCTGAGAGGGTTCTGGGTGCCTCCAGCCCTCTCCCCTGCCCCATGGAGGTGGACAAAGGGCTTCCCTGCAGCGAGAACGTGTGTTCTGGGAAGGGATGTACTCGAGGGAGGCACTTAGAGGTGACTTCCCTGAATGATTCATTTCTTGAAGGACTTGGGGAAAAATTTATTAGCCCCTTCTTCAGAACATCAGGACAAGGAGTTCATGCAATGAAATTAGAGCAACAAATGGAGATGAAATGGAAGGCAGCGCCGCTTTCTGCAGCGGGAGCTGCCAGGCAGGGTTCATTCCTGCAGGAAGTCATTTGTCACAGCGTCTGGGTTTGTGAGGAGGGCTGGGTACCTTCCTGCCAGCTAACGACGTTTCGTGTGGGAGATGAGGCTAATCAGATCTCATGTGGCAGGCTCCGAGCTGAGAGCGTGCAGGGGTCGGGGAAGGATTTCTCATCTCGAGCCAGCCCTGCTCCGCTTGCCAGGCCCGATGTGCCTTTGTGCTCTCCTGGCATTTCTAAACCCTCAGCTGTGGGCTGATGCCAAGGCCTTGTGCAGATGGCTGAGAGCTTATGTTGGGGTTGTGGTGGCTTGGAGGCAGCTTTGGGGCCGTCCTGACTTTCCTGGGCTGTGTGGACATAGTGCTTTGGGTGGCACGAGGCCATTGCCAACCCTCTGCCATCTGTGACCCTTTGTAGTTGTCCAGCTCCTTACAGGGAATGGATCCACACAGCGTGGCTGGGGCATGGGGCAAGACAGTTTCTCCCTCTAGAAGATGCTTCTGGCATCCCAAAAATCTGATCCAGAGCAAGCTCCAAGTACGCTGGAGAGTCAGGGCTCCAAAGGACCCACAGGACTGGCTGCTGTGTTGGACAAACACGAGTCCTGGCAGAGACAGCTCCAGTGCTTGGCTCTGCTGCTGCTGTGCTGCTGTTCAGGATGGACTGAGCAGTCTCAGACACTTGGAGTCTGCAAACAAAACGTCAGCTCTGAGACTTTCCTGGGCTTTCATATTCCTGGGAATACCTGTGCTCACACTGGGCTGGCTCCCCATGTAGCCTGATGCCTGTATAAGGAGCTTTATAGCTTTGATAAAAGGCTTTTCCTGGGCAGAAGCCACTGAACCGGGAAGCATTTTGTATTCTAAGAGCAAATCTTTCAGCGTTGTTGTATCTTTGGGCAAACTGCCCAAGTGTCTGCTTTGGGGAGAGCATCTGAATGGTGACAGAGCATGTGAGGTGAGCTACCAGCTCTTTGGTGTTTGCTTACATTTTGTAAACAGAAGAAAATGAAATACTCTGAAGGAGAAGTGGGGTGCACACGCTGGGTGATGTGCAGCAAACAGGCTGTGTCTGCTGCCAGGAAACCTGATGGGACAAAGGTTTGATTTTGGCAGGATGGCCAAGGCTGCTCCTGCTCCTCCCCAGCTGCTGCCTGGGAGAGCAGCAGAGCCCTGGGGCTGCCGGCCGTGGGAGCCCCTCACATGGGTGGGCTTCAGCCTCAGGCTGGGACTGCTTCTGCAAGCAGAAGTAAAGGGGGACCTGGCTCCTCCACTGCCCCCAAGAGCCCAGGGTGAATAGGGACATCCCTCTGACCAGGGCCACAACACCCAGCCTGCCCTAGCCAGCTTCAAGGGACATAAATTCTTCCCCTGTCACTCTGCAGCATGTCTTCCTGTCCCCTCTGACAAAGAGGCTTTTTCTGGAAGCATCAGAGGGTTGAGGGGACACTCCATTCCCACAGAAGTAGCTATACCATAGTGCCATAGTGACCAGCTGCAAGGAAGTTCTGGCAGGGCTGGAGGAATGTCACCTCCAAGATCAGCACTGAGCCTGCAGCTCAGAGTCACAGACTGGTCTGAGTTGGAAGGCACCTCTATAGGACACCCAGCCCAACTTCACTGCAGTGAGCAGGGACATCTTCAAGCAGAGCAGCTTGCTCATCTTGGTCACCAACTATGGGTCTGGGATGACCAAAGTCTTCAGCAACTTGGAACCTTTCACCCATCTCCTTGCAGCAATATTTCCATGCTCAGCAGTGCAGCCCAGTGCTGGGTTTGTCCCTCCTGCCGTGGCTGAGGCCTTACCAGGGACTTCTGTCTGCTGCAGTAATTTGCAGTGATGTTCCCAAACATGCAAACATATAACTGCTCCCAACTGCAGGCTGTTGAATAAAGCTTTAATTTGCTGGCCTGTCTCCCTGTGCTCAGCAGCCTGGCTTGGCTGGCTGTCAGCAGCCTGGAGCTGATGGATGAGCAGCCTTTGCTTCCCCTGGAGGTTCCTTCCCATGCTGGAGGTGCAGCTGGACACGTGCTCTGCAATGTTCATGCACTTGGAACACATTTTGATGAGGTTTTTTCTGGTTGACAGGTTCTGTGGTCAGTTTGGGAAACTACTTGATTTTTTTTTTGCAAGGATTTTTGAGCAGTGGTTTATGCTAAGAAGCCTTTAAGTGTATATATAAATCTATATTTATTTATTTTTTTTTAAGCATCACTGTTAGTGTTTTCTATCTTTCCATCCTTCAAAACAAGGCTAGTTCCCAGGGTTTGAAAATACTGCTTCCCTGTTGCTATTATGGTTTCTTAGCTCCAAAAACCAACCTTCCTTCCCAAACTGTATCAGGATTACAGGGAATGGAGATGGGTGGTCTTGCTCTGATGCTTTGGTGCAGGTCCTCCAGCCCTGTGAAGCTGTGCTGGGGCTGCTCTCAAAAATGTCCATTCTGAGCTCCAGGGCTTTGCCTCATGTCTTTTGTAGAGTTTTGTGTCCTATGCTTCACCCAAGGCAGAAAGGTGTCCCCAGATGCCATGGAAATAGGTCTACAGAAGAATTTAGGGCCAGTAAACATTCTTGCATTATGCAGTAACATATGAAAAAGGTTAATGTTTCATTTTTGTTGTATATAAATGAGCCAGGACGTTTGTAGCTCACCAGTGGGATTTGATAACTTTATTATCCACATAATAAGATTTACAAATCAGCTGCCTAATTAGCAACCTGGGAAAGCTGCTGCACGTACAGCAGTTTCTAAACTGACAAAGACAGGCCTTAAAATGCTGAAGGGTGCTGGGAGCAGGAGGGGGATGGCAACACCTGTCCTGGCACTGGGCAGGTGGGGACCAGCCATCCCTTCCCAGGGTGATGCTCTGGGTTAGTCACAGGAGGAGTGATCTGTCACATCTTCTTGTGTCTGTTGGGCAGGATGCACGTTGAGGAGTTAAGGCAGGATTACTGGCCTAAGCTCCCCATCCCAGTTAATGCTACTGGCCCTTTTGCATGGGTTGACTGATTGCCCATGAAACGTTTGAGCTGGATCCCTCCAGGGCTGGCAGCTCTTCCTGTGAGGTGTTGGAGGCAAAGCCCACTCTGTTTGCTGTGGATGCATAAGGAAGTGTTGCACTTCACCCTCCTCCCAGGGCCTGTCCTCACAGGCAGTATCAGCAGGGACTGCTGGAGAACCTGCTGGACCTGCTCCATGTGCAGTTGCCACAAAGGTGACTTGCAGGGACTCAGGGATCATTTTCCTAATTGAACTGTAACATGAACATTTTGAACACCAGGCAGTGATTTTGCCACTTGAAGAGGAAATACTGCATTTCTAGTGTGTTCTTTAGGCCCCTCCTCAAAGGGCAGGAGCTGCTGTGTGTATTTAACGCTGGCTTTAACCATGAAGCAACTCAGGGAAACCTGAAAAGAACAGGGGAGAGGCTGCAAGAAAAATCTGGGGTGGGACTGAGCTTCTCGGGCCTTGGTTTTCTGGCCTTTCTTGTCACTAGAAATGGGTATTTCAGCTCTTCTGTTCACACGAGTGGAAAGGTGAAGGGCACGTGCTGTGCTCTGGGTGCTGGGGGGGCAGGAGGGTGCGGGCCGGGCGGGGGTCGCTGCCCCCGCGGCTCTGCCCTCTCCTCTCCCTCCTGGCTTCCCACATCCCCGTTCTGCGTCCCCTGTTTGCTGCCTGCCGAGTGAAAAGCGTCAGGAGCAGAGCGGGGAACCCGCTGCGGGTTCTGCCCGTGCGCGGCACAACTGAAGGCTTGGATTTATGTATTTTTTAAATTATTTTTAGGTGTTAAAATCCAACGCGTTTGGCGGGACCTGCTGGGAGGGCTGCGGGACCTGCTGGGAGGTTGCGGGACCTGCTGGGGGGACTGCGGGACCTGCTGGGAGGTTGCGGGACCTGCTGGGGGGACTGCGGGACCTGCTGGGAGGTTGCGGGACCTGCTGGGGGGACTGCGGGACCTGCTGGGAGGTTGCGGGACCTGCTGGGGGGACTGCGGGACCTGCTGGGAGGTTGCGGGACCTGCTGGGGGGACTGCGGGACCTGCTGGGAGGTTGCGGGACCTGCTGGGGGGACTGCGGGACCTGCTGGGAGGTTGCGGGACCTGCTGGGGGGACTGCGGGACCTGCTGGGAGGTTGCGGGACCTGCTGGAGGGGCTGCGGGACCTCCCGGGACTGCGCTGGCAGAGCCGGGCCCCTCCCGCCTGCCCCGCACGGGCATCCAGGGGCGCTGCTCTTGGAACCGCAGTGAGAGCCAAAAGAGGGGGCTCGGGTTTCCCGTTTTCCACCAAGCGAAGCCCAAGGGAGAGCCGGTCCCGGGGTCCCTGCCGAGGGGAGCGCGGGTGGGGCTGCTGCTGCAGGGGCTGGGAAGGAACCAGTTGCCGAGCCCTTCGGGAGGCCTCAGTGATGCCTTGGTTCCCTCAGCCCTGGGAACAGAGCCCAGCCTGTGTGCCCTGGCACCCCGGACACACGGAGGCAGAGGGAGGGTCTGATGTGGGCAGAGCCATCGGGGTGCTCTGTGCTGGGCAGGACAAGGTGATCTCCTGTGAGCAGGTGTCACCTGTGGGTGAGCCATCCCTGCTGGAGAGACCAGCATGGACAACTTCTGCTTTGTCCCTTCTCCAGATCCTGTCACCCCAGTGGTAGGAAGGTCATTTTCCCCAAGCAGGAACAAGTATCACCATCCCCAAAGTGCAAAAGCTGCTTGGGGAAGCACCAAAGGACCTGCTTGTCTGTCTGTGCCTACTCTACAGGGTCAGGTTTGCATCCAACAGCCTTTGTATATGGCGTGGATGAATGGCATTGGGAAGTTCAGCCTGGTAGCAATCTTGTTTCTTCTGTTGAACTGAAATCATTCCAGCCCCGCTGGGAACCTCACACCACAGCCTGGATGTTGGCACCACTGCGCAGCCTCCAGCACACTCGGACCCTTATTGAGTTTATACACACACTTCAGGACAAATCTTTGCTAATAGAGTTCTAATTTCTTCCTTCCTGCTTCCCAGATGCTTCTGTCTCTGCATACAAGTGATAGAAACAGTGAACAATGTTTTCAGTGTATTTATTTGTTAGAACCAGAAGAGCAAGTGAGAGGTCCTGAAAGGGGAGAGCTCTTGGCAGCTGTTATGATTCTCAAACCTTCTGGGTTTGTGTTTTTCACAATTAAAAATGTGAAAAGGAACATGGGTCTAAAGCTGGGTGTGGCAGGGTACAGTGAGGGGATTGGGATTTTAATGGTAAATGTCACTTCCCTTGTTCCTTAGGAAAAGTCTCCAATAGTGATGTGATTGCAACCTGCTTTGTTTCTGTGCTGCTCAGTTTGTTTTATGTGCTAAGTTCCTCAGAACCCAGCACACAGCATCACCTCTGCCAGATGCTCCTTCATTTGGTGTAACTGCAGCTCCTGGGAAAAGGCTGTGGCAAACAAGAGGCTGAGCTTGGTGCCCAGGGTCTCCCAGACAAAGGCAGTCTTGGCACAGCTTTGCTTCCTTCCCAAAATCAGCACTTGTTCCCTTTGCTCCCTCCCTGCCTGGGCTCCTTTCATTCATGGTGGTGCCCTGGAGCTGAGGTCCCATCCCTTGGGATGGGGCAGGGTGCAGATGTGGGGATGGGGCATGGTTGGTCCTGGAGGGGCTGGCACCCAGGATTCACTTATATGGGGTGTGAGATGGTGCCTCAGTTCCTAGGAACTGGGACAATTGTTTTCCAAGGCAGTGGTGCCACCTCCAGCTGCAGGGTGAAGTGGGCTGAGACCCTCAGAGAAGGACCTGGGCTGTCAGCTGAAGTTATCTGCAGGGCCCAGTGGCCTTTTTAACATCTGTCACTGAACATAAGGTGCTTATTTGGCATTTAGGGGAAAAGTTAGCCTATAAGTCCAGCACTTTGCACAGACTGCAAAAATACTGCTGGCAGCTTCAGGTTTGCATGTGCTGAAAGGGTTTGGTGGTTTCAGGGATGTGTGTTTAGTGCTGGATACTTATGCTTGAACGTCTGGGTGATGGCACGTTGGGATTAGTTTCCCTGTGCTGTTCCCAGGAAGATGACTCTGTCATCCACGTGCGTGAGGAGAGGAAGATGTATGTGTCTTCTGGTCTGGCAAGTGGAGGCTGTGGAGATGCTGAGGAAAAGCAGAGCTGTGGGAGGAAAATTGCCCACCTGTTCCCATTGGTACAATCTTCCGTTTTTGGACACATGCACTTTCCAGCTCAGATACCCACCAGTGCCAGATTCTCCTTTTTATACACAGCAGTGACCAGGGTGCACAGGGAGTGCAGTGAGCTCAAAGCCAGCAGAAGGGTTCCCAGCCCTCCTCTCACCTTCACTCAACACTCTACTTCTGCTCAGTTTTATTGAAGCACCTGGTCCAGCTGGCAATTCAGTCGGGTTTAAACATCTGCCACGGGTTTACTTAAAGAAAAAGAAAGTTTTCCCATCAGTCAGATGTAGCAGCTTTTCTATTTTCCAGGCTCTGGGCTCACGTGGTGCCAGTCCCTCCAGGGCCCCTGACACTGTTGCTGTCTTCTCTTTGCAGTTTGCTGCTTCGTCGTGCACAAGCGCTGCCATGAGTTCGTCACCTTCTCCTGCCCCGGTGCTGACAAGGGCCCGGCCTCTGATGTAAGTACCTGCTCCAGCACCTCCAGCCAGGGCACAGCGTGGGGCTTTGTGGGTCCTTCTGTGCCACAGTGACTTGCTGGTGTTTTTCCTCCAGCTTTCTTGGCGAATGACACTTCTGGGCTGTTATTTCACAGGCTTTTCTAATGGGTTGTTATTCATAGTTGTGTGGGCTCTCATATATCTTTGAGGCTCTTAAACCACTTTCAAATCCCCCTCAATGTGCTCTCAGCAGTGCAGGGGGAATGTGCAGGAACACAGAGATGCTCCCATTTGGGGACAAATCTGCAGCCTGGCCCCACCTCTTTTTTGTCCCTTGAGTCGCAGTCTCAGTTTCCCCATTGGTAAAATGACATTTCAAGTCTCTGCCACCTGAACCCAGGTTGTAGCCCTGGGGTTAATTAACATGCAGGAGGGGGGTGGCAGGGTGGCTGCTGCAGGAGCCAGCCAAGGACAGGGGCTTCATTTCAAACTGATGCAGAGCTGGAGTTTTCCTCTATTGTTGCTCATAACCACAGTGTGGATCCAGAGCGACCTGTAATTGTGCCAGAGGCTGGAGGCATCTGGTGTGTAGCCGTTGGAGCTGTGTGGTTTTTCAGTTGCTGCATCAATCTGGTAACTGTCTTTCCTTTCACAAACATAAATATCCAATGAAATCTGGCAGAAAGAACGAGTTTAATTGACTGTGTTTGTTTGAGCCTTGCAGTGTGCTCGCCGTTCCAGTGGGCCAGGTGGTTTTGCAGAGCTGGTGAGGGCAGAGGTTGGAGCACTGAACTGCCTACCCCACGCTGGGCATCTGCAGGGCTGGTGCTGTGGTGCCAGCCAGAGCCCAGCCTGGCCTGCAGCTTCCAGTGCCCTCCAGCTGCTGCCCTGCATCCCCAGAGCTGCTCTGCTTTGTGGGTCATGGAGCCCAGGGGGATGGGGGGGGAATATAATAAAAGAAAAAAATTTCTAGCTCTGCTCCTTGATACCTGTATCTTGTGGCCCTTCACAGTTACTTGAGAATCAAAGAGAAAAACATGAGCGTGCTGCAGAGTGCTGGTGGTGTACAGGGCTGCTTAATTCTAAGTGCCTGAGTAACACCAGTTTCTTAAACAAAACTCTTCTGTTCAAAGTTAAGTATGTGCCAAAGTGCTTTGTGGGGTGCCTGTATCAAGCTGATAACCCTGGGGGAGGCTGACGTCTTACACCTTCTGGAGCATAACAGAATAACCAGAGAGCAGGGAAACGTCAGCATCTCTCTCTGTTACTACTGACTAGTCCTGCTTTGGAGGAGTTTTCTGTTTGATCGGGTTGTGTTTGAACCTCCTTGAGGAGAGAGAGAGAGAGAGAGTGTGTGTGTGTGTGTGTTTAACCTTGCCAAGCTGACTGAATAGGAATTTTCCGTCTAGGAGAGGAGGACTAATTACACTGCAGTGATAGGTTCTCCAAGTTAAAACAAAAAATTAATTGCTTCTTGCAGTAGAGAATGAAGCTGTAGCTATAAATGCTGGGACTGCAAACACCGGGGCTGCTGTCACGCTGCATCACCCTTCAGTCATAGCAGGGGTGATTGTTTTGATGGCTGAAGATGTGATGGTGGGTCTGTGCTCTGGGCAGTGGCCCTGCTGGGGACAGCAAGTGTCACACAGCCCTGGTGGCTGAGGGCAGTGCCCTTGTTACAGTTCACTCCTACCCCCAGCAGCAGGCTGCCCGGCTGTGGTCTCTGCCCTGCATCCCCCAAGTGAAAACCAGTGAGTTGTTCTGGAGAGGGTGGCCAGCCCCGACCCAGCAGGGCCACTGAGGGACTCTGCTGTGTCCCCTTGGCAGCTCTGACCCCCTGGTGCCCTGCTCTTCTCAGGAGTCAGACCGAGCACACCGGGTCAAGCTGAAGTTCTCTGACATGTGGCAAGGTCTTTGGGAGCTCGAGTCAGGCACGTGTCATGTAATGCACTTGGCAAACCTAATTATAGTCAGAGCTATTAGTAGAATGCAAAATTATTTAAATGGTAGACAAAATAATCGTTAAAATGACCTTCTTTGCATTATCCTGTTAAAGGTCATCTAATCAGGATGCATTAATAAATATCAGTTGCTCTAGGAAGGCAACAGGCCAGTGTAGCTTCATTTCCATTTTGGATTTTGTTGTTGCACCATTTTCAGTGTTAGGAGAGGGTCTGTGATGCTGCCACCACAGCACCTTTGCTCTTTCCACGCTCTATTTGCTGGAGGCAGAATCATTTAATCTTTGTCTTGGGCTCCTCCTTTCTCAAAAAGCTGCAGAGCAGAGTGATGTACTGGTGATGTGTTGCTGCCACTCTCTGAGGACAAGACACTCCACAGGGGGTGGGTCCTAGAGGTGTCATTGAGTCAGAGCTGTCTTCACAGCATCAGTGCATGGTCGTTATCCCTTCGTGCACAGCGTCCAGATCTCAGGCTGACACATGTAACAGGGTGCAGAGAGGGTCAATCTGCTTCTGAGCTTGATTTCTTCTCTAGAGTATTTGGGACTGGCAACAATTAGCAATGAGGTGTCAGCAGCAGAACAAGTGAAGGTGCCATTTGTACTACCTGGAAATTAGCAGCTCCTTCGAGTTTCTCCTTTCTGGGATCTCCTCCCGTGGGAAGGGATCTCCACTGCTGGGTGCTCCCTTTGCCCAGGATAGGGCATCCTGGGATTATTACCAGGCTCTGCCTGCCAAGGGTGGAGGTGAGATGTGCAGCTGCCTTCCTGAAGATGCCAACCACCCCCTTGCCCAGGACTTGTCTTAGAGAGTAGCATATCTAGGTCTGGTGCACAAGCAGATCTTCACAGCCTTGCTGCAACTTGCTGCCTTCTGCTGTCTTGCTAATTAACTTCTCCAGCTCTCATGGTGTGCCATCTGCCCCTCGTGAGGGCACACGCCACTCCCGCCGGCACAGGCAGCCGGAGAGAGTTCCCATGGGATGAAGATGTATCTGCCGTGCTCCCTCCCAGCACCTTCTGGTGCTTCCCTGGCTCTGCTGGAGCCTGGCTCTTTCTCCTGCCAGCCTGCACATGTCCTCAGCCCTGTAATTGAAATCTCTTCTCTTGTTTGCTCGGTGTGTGTGTGTCTGGCGACGCCAGTTTCCATTGCAGCCTTTGGCTAATGGGGGCATTGGAGGGGATGGTTGGGTCTGAGCTGGGTTTGTGGATACCAGGAGGGCTGTGGGGTGGGAGTGTAGCCTGTGCCACCCAAGTGGCACCCTGGTGGGGCTAGAAACAGAGCATCCTGCAGGCAAGAGGTGTTTTTTGGGTCTTGGTGCTGTTTTGAGCAACCTGGAGGGTGCAGAGTGCGGGGAAAGCGCTGGGGGAGCCTGGCTCTGCTGGGGGCTTATGCTGTAATGAAATGACTCTCAAGATACCTGAAAGATAACAAGCATTTCTAAATGATGTTGAGATTTCTAAATATGTTGTTCAGGGGCCAATAGGAAAGCTGTGGAGGGACTTTATTACAAGGGTATTTAGCAGTAGAACAAGGGGGAACAGTTTCAGACTGACAAAGGGTAGATGCAGATGAGACCTTAGGAAGAAATTCTGGGCTGTGAGGGTGGTGAGAGCCTGGCCCAGGCTGCCCAGGGAAGCTGTGGCTGCCCCATCCCTGGCAATGTTGAAGGGCAGGTTGGATGGGGCTTGGAGCAACCTGGTCTAATGGGAGGTGTCCCTGCCCATGCAAGAGGTTGGAACTTTAAAGTCCCTCCAACCCAGACAGGTGTGGGATCCTATGAGATGCTCATGCTGCTCAGGGGAAAAAAGCTGAGTTTGTCCTTTTTTTGCTGCTTGGTAAGAGAGTGTGTTTTGTGTGGTGTGGGCAGCAGCAAGAGAAGAATAACTGTCATCCACATCCCTCTGCAGTTGTCTGACGAGCAGATGAGATCCCTTGTCAATAAAAATGTATGGACTTGCTGGGAGCTGTCAAGGGCAGGGTTTGTCTGCAGCCGTGTCGGGCGCAGCAGCAGCACAAACTGCGGTGCTGGTGCCCGTGGCCGCGGTAGCTCCTGGTGGGCTGCTGGCCAAGCTTGGGGGCTGCTGCCCTCCCCCTGCTGCCTTCCCTGCCCTCGGCGCTGCACTGGCTGAGCTTCTCTGTGGCTGTGGTGCTGTATGAGAGAAGAATGGCTTTGGTACCACTTACTGGTGCAGCAGTGTCTGGTCATGTTTAATGGTTGGCGGCCACCGTTGTCTTCAGTTCATCTTCCCCCACCATCTCACCTTGGTCTGGTAACAAAAACTGGAGTGTGATGATGCTGTCTGGAGCTCTCACGCAGGCCCTGACCCAGCTCTGAACAAGCTAGGATGTCCCTGGAGGGAGCCACAGTGTCACCTTTAGACTCAGTGTCAGGCCACTCTGGTCCCTCCGCTGTGAGTTGTTCCCTGTGTACTGGGGATGGGATTTTCCCCAGGGGAAATGTGGGAATAAAGTGTGAAGTGTTTAGTTTAGTTAGAAATCCACTGCCTGGATTTCATTAGGTGCAGACAGTGAGCTGTTGCTGTGCTTGCTGTGCTATACACTGCTTAAATTGCTGTGAAATTCGCTTTAAAATAGTCGCTTCACATGAACTGTGTTAATTCTTCTTTGGAAGAGAGAATGCAAAGCTCTCTCTGCAGTGAGGTGTGGAGGGCAGGGGTGTGTGCTCTGAATCAAACCTCTATGGCTGTTCTGTAGAATCCAGGAAATTTTGACAGTACCAAGGATTAAAATAGCAGCAGCCATGGGTGCCATCTGGGCTGCCCGGGGTGCGCGGGCGCTGAAGGACGAGCCCTGTGTGGGGTGGTGGCAGCTGGGGACAGCAGGAGAAACCCGAGTGCCCTTGGTGTGTCACTTCTTTTGGAGATGAACCCGAGAGAGCTGGATGTGATTTTAGAATGTTTTATGGCTTAGACAGCTGGGCCTGAGGAAGGGTCTGGTCTTCCTCTTTTCCCACCTCCCTGCCCCAGGAGAGGCAATGCCTGTGTCCCCTCCGAGCCAGGAAGAGATGAATTTAGTGCAGAATCAAAGCCCAGATGGCTCCAGCGCAGCGTTTGCAACTCGGAATGACAGAGCAGTGCTGCCCTTGCCAGGACGTGACTTTGCAGGAGAAGCAGCTGAAGCAGAAGGGCCTCACTTGCCAGCCTGGCTGTGCCCGCTGCCGTGCCCAGTCCCTGCGCGGCGCCACCCCCAGCGCCCGCTGCAGAGGAGCAGCTGGGTTCCCCCACGTTGTCACCCTGACCATGGCACCTGGGGGGTGACAAGGGGTGAGTGGTGGTGGCTCCTGCACCAGTGTCTCCATCAGGGCTCAGTGGGAAGCCTGCATCACCTGTGGGGACATGCAGCCAGCCCGGTGGGGTGTGACCCTGGAGAAAGGCAGAGGGATTGCGGAGCTGGAACGGGCAGAGATCCAAGTGCCTCGAAGGCCACGAGTTGATTGCTCACTCATGAATATAATGTCTTGTGTTCCCGTGAGAGAAGAAGAGGTGAGAGAGGCGAAGAGCCACGAGGTGCACACCCAGCCACCTGTGCCCACCATGGGACAGCAGGAGACAGCTCAGGTGGGAGCAACTAGACGTGTGGGGTGTTCTGGGGCAGCCAGGGGCTGCGAGGTTTGCTCTGCAAGGCAGGGATGTATTAAGGCAGGGATACAGTATTGCACTGGCTCGTTTCAGACCAGGAACCTGCTGGTGGGACACAGAAGGTGGTCTCCCCACTGATGGGACCAAGTCAAAGTCAACAGCTGCTCCTCTTCATCCCTGGCTCAGGCTTTGACTCCCTCGTCTGGGCTCACATCCTCAGGCATCCATCCCTCTGCTTGGAGGATGGCAGATCTGCAGCAATGCTGATTAGAAAGGTCAGACCCTCTCAGAGCAGTAAAACACTGCTGATGGCCTTTTTCACTTCAGCTCCAAATAAAGCCTTTGCAGGCCTGTTCCTCAGCACTGGCAGGAGGGAGGAGGAGCAACCACTTTTCCTCTTCTTAGCAAACTTCTTTTTAACCATTCTTGATTTAAATCTCTCAGCATCTGCATACACAGTGATCTCGTCATCCCTGTCTCTGTGGTACAAAAATAGTCTCCTTGTTAAACAGCTTCAGCCTTGTTCGAAAATGATATCCAGAATTCCCAGATCCTGGCATCTTCTAAAGCACTGGTCAAGGTGAAGTGGGCGCCAGCAGAGCAGCTCTGCCTTCCCAGTGCTCGGCTGCCTCTGGCATCCTGGCACCCTTTGGGGTCTGGCTGGCTGGTTCAGGGTCTCCAAAAGAGCCCCTTGGAGCTGGGAGCAGGGGGTGAAGCCTGGGACTCCCCGTGAGGGCTGTGGAGGCTCCTTGCTGGCAGGGTGGGGAGGCCAGGGGAGCAGTCTGAGCTCCTGCAGCTGCTCTGTGCCAGGAAGGGCTCAGTGAACACTTTGCTTTCTACCTCCAGCTTTTTTAGCTCTGGGTTCCAGTGGGAATTTAAAAATCCTTTGCATGAAGTGGAAACTGTCTCATTTTGCTTGAAGCTTGTGTTTTTTTATGAATGACTAAAGCTTTCATATGCCTGAACAGGAATATCTCTTTCTAGAGGAGAGCACAGAATTGGGAGCACTCGGGGGCGATTCCTCCTCGTGTCACACATGGGGGCTGGACTGGCACGTGGCTTGAGCTGCCTCCGTGTCCCCCTGCCACCCTCTCGTCCTGCTGCAGTGCAGGGTCAGCAGTGCTGGAGGTGCCCCAGCACCCCTGGTGCCTTCCTCTGCAGCAGGGCTGTGGGTGCTGTGCAGGGGGCTCTGCAGGGCGCGTGGTTCGGATGCTCAGGGTCACTTGATGGACTGGCTTTTTGGGAGCAGAAGACAGTTAATCAAAGGCAGAAGACAGTTCCTGTGATGCATCTGACACACGAGCTCCTGGGCAGAGGAGTGTTACACTCTGATTCTGGAAGTGGTTTGCTCAGGGTTAGATGTGAGAGATTTTTGGTTTCAAGTACAATAAATGTGCTGAAACATGTATCTAATCCCTTGCACTTAACAGATCTAATTAAATGGAGCTCTATTACTTGTCTACCTTTCTGGTATCACTCAGGTTATCAGTGCTGCTGTGAAAGAGTGGACAA